ACGGCGATAGTCTCCCTCCTGGCTAACATCATGGAGACAACAGTCCCGCTAGACCCTTGGCTATGCTTATTTAGTTACTGGGACTCGCCTCCCGCCCTCAAGATAGATAATAGGATGTGGCTGTTTACTTGTCTCTTACTAGCTAGGAGACTGCTGATGAAATTCTGGTTAAACCCTAGCCCACCTCCCTTGAAAGTATTTGTGGAAATGGTCACCACATTTATGTGGCAAGAACGTTTAGAAGCAATATTGGACATGGACCGCTTTACCACCAAATTCTTTAATCGATGGAGTTCCTTTCTCCTTTTTCAAATGCAAGATACGGAACTGTTGGAACTAGTTCGCCCCTTTAGATACACCACCTGGTATCTGGAAGGGGTACTCCAGGGTTCTTTAGGAAAATTTACCATTACGGAATAACTGACAGGGATATCAAGGGAGATGGGCTGGACACGAAGGAGATGTCCCTTTAATCAGTCTCTAATCTATGCCAACACGTATGTATATTTTGCTCTTCAACCTTTTAAAATGTCTAGATGGGGATGTGGAGGAGAGGCCGCGAGGAGGAAATGGGGAAACAACGGGATGGGTCCTGCGAGAGGAGGCTGCAAAGGTTAGTGAGTCTTAAGCTGCCAGTGTGAAAACATTTTTAGCAATGTCTTCAATATGCTAAATAGGCTTGTTTTTCTTTTATTCTCTATGTTTATTTTAATTTTTATTTTATTTAGCATTGTCTGTTTTTTTTTTTTACTTGACAAGCAGATAGATATGCCAAGTTATCTGGATATAGAAGAAAATGGGATCCAACATAATCAATAGGGGGAGGTGGAAGATGACCTAAATAATAGTATCTGATTGTTCCTCCTAAATCCCCCTACTGAATCAAAGATGAGGTGAACTCTTTCTGCAAACTCCTTTGTGATTGAACCTGATCTTGAGATTCACGACATTTGATCAACCCTTTTTCACTTTTACTTTCAGTTTTTAATTTCATTTTCAAGTTAACTTGTGCATTATAGGTATAGGTGCGAGACTGAGAAGGTTTGCATATTATCAGACTCTTATGCTTGTTATACGGTTTGATACAGGTAGACCACACGCGCCTTGGTGAACAAACCATGGGAAACAAAACCATACAAAAAGAAATAACATAACGATTGCATGTACTGTATGTCATTCTTTTGGTCACGTGGTGACTTTGTTTATGTCTCAATAAAATATTTTGAAAAAAAAAAAATTGCACATGCTTTTCAGTTTTTATTTACAGCTGAACCCCAGGCAAATAGGCAAGCACCAATACCTGCCCTGACAGTAGCTATAACTTTTTCCTGCTTTATCCAAAATAAAGTTTTTACTAGAGTTAACCTTTATTCTAACGTCCTCCCGTGACCCAAAACTCAGTATATAGTGGGCTACTGTCGAGATCCATCCGCTGGCTAATTGACAGCGGGCTCTGCCTATCTAGAGGCAGAGCCAGCTATGCCCGCCTCCCCCCCAGTCATTCCTTCCAGTCAGTGCTGGAGGATCGGAGAGGGGAGGGGTGAACCCCTGGAGGAATCTTTGCAGGGAGATAATCAGGAAGTGAGGGAGCAGCGGTATGTTTTCGCTCACTTTCCGAGCAATATAGCCGACGTGTGGCAGTTTCAATGTCACACATCGGCTCTAACTATGGCGGTGAGTGTAATTCACTTAACCCCATAGCTCTCCTTTAAGCAACTTAAGTAACAAACATAAATACACAGAAAAAATATACATATTCAGATGTCAGTTATAATAGGAATAACATCAAGTTTAAATGACCTACCCATAATGTGTTGGCTTATAGTATATAAATATATACTGCATACAGTGGATATAGTATATAATATATATTGTACTGTATGTAATACAATAACTGGACGAGTTAAATACTGCTTTTTTATGTTTATCTTTTGTTAATGTGGAAAATTATTTTAGTACAGGACATGTAAATGTTTGGATTGTAGAGTGACATATGGACATACAAACTTTGTTTCAGAGCTGTATCTCCTGCGTACAGGATATGTGGAAGGAAACATTTTGATTAATGGTTGAGAAACTGTAAACTGTTTTAGAATCACTCCTGTGATTTTACAGTGGTCATTAAATTGTTTCTAATTATTTTTTTTTCAGTTTAATTTTCATTAAATTTAGTTTAAGTTCCAAGATTTTCTAAAGAACAATTCACCAAATTTGGAATACAACCAGTTTCATATATAGTGTACATCATGTTAGATCTGTACTTTAATCTGTCATATGTTTATTATTGGATGAAGGGCAATGTTTGTTTCTGAACATTGTAAAACTTTAGAAACATTTTACTGCTTGACTGTAGCTTAATTTAGGTATTCTGGATAACGTGTTTAATTTAAATATAGTAACATAGGTCAGGGGTGCAGGGTAATTATTGTATAGTGTATGCAAGAAGATTGTGAACTCGCCTCTGAAAATGTGTTCTTTAATTCAGCATAAGTCAAGCCTAATTACCTCCAGTCAAAGTCTTTGTACAATCCTCTGGCAACTTAATGACTTGGCGGTGAGCACATGTTCTATTACCTTGACAGCGATGTGCCAACCCCAGCAGTTTGGGAAAGGGTTAAAATTGTGGCCAATTCCACTAAGTTCAGCCAGGTAAGAAAGGACATGACAGAATGCTAAATGTTCAATTCATTATTATCAATAAAGTGTGCAACCAGAAGGTACAATGCACTGCAAGTGCACATGCACAACACAAAACAAGCAACACATTTTTCTTACCTATCGCACCTTATTACACAAACTCTACATAGGCAGAAATTCTGAATACTAGGAGATAATAAATAATGCAGTTTTTAAAAAGCCATTAAAGTACACACACTACACACCTAACTGAAGTTAAATTCTACTAAATTATTACAAACAGTAGATTAGTTGTAATGTTGCTGTGAGCTCTCACCTGGCAGCGGCACCTCTGGCAGGGATTGTCAGGGTCTGTGAAGTCCTGCCCATTGCTATATATACGCTGGTTGTAAGTACAGGTGTGACACACTGGACAGCACTCGTCTAAGAATTAAGAAAGCACATTTATCATTGCACAAAGCTTTTAGCCTGCACAAACATTAGAAATATGCTAAATTTAACTCAAATATGTTTCATATGTGTGCAGCATTAACATTCGTTTTAAGTGGTCCCAGGTACCTTAGTGGTTCTACAATCAACAAATTGTGCACAAAACCTCAAACACCTACAATATAGAATGACACTGTGTAGGTATAGGTAACGCAGTGAAAAAAAATGGTGTTTTAAGTAAGGTTTAATAGAACAAAACTGATAGCTTTTTACATTGTATATACACAGTTAAGCTGTTCAACGCTTACCACAAAAGTGTACAATGCTAAATGCACAGACTACAGACTAACTGTCATTCTTACCTTCATTGTGGGTTGGATGGAGACAAGACAGAGGGGGGCATTGACTGACTCCACATACTGTATCACCATTCAGACAAGCACAGGTGCTGCATGGATCTCCTTCAGGCTCCCACTCTACCCCCTCTAAGAACTCAGTGCCATCCTGCACACATACTAAAAAGAGACACTGAAGTAAGAGGAGGTATAATAAAAGAAAAGTGAAGTGCAACAGGCACAAAGAAGAGGAATTATATATCAGTCACACACTAAAAAAAATAAGATTAGGAGGACATTTATTTAACACAGATGAGGCCTGTACAATTTACTATAATAGCAGACTTTACTGTAAGTAATTATAGCCTCAACAAGCTGAGTTTCTCTTCCATCTGTCTTACCTTTACAGACTGGACAACATGTATTTGGTTCTTTCACTGGGTTTGGGCAGGACTGAGGAGGGCAGCTTTCCTCAACACAGCGGACATTGCCTTTCTACAACACAAATGATGATGTCAGTTATGTAAACTCTCATCAGAATCTCAAAAATTTGCATATATTATTTGTTCACACCCTCACTGATGTGGTGCCACATTCTTATGTTTGCATAGAAACCTAGATATATTTTAGATGTCTCTGTTAAATCATTTGACGTATGCTTCACTATCAGGTATTCTTTGCGTTTCTCATATTTTTATCTAGGGCCTTTGATGCCTAATCTCTTAAATAGGTAAAGAGGAACTTACCACTACCTATATGAATAGCCTTTGGCATGTCCTTTATGTGCAAAGTATATCCATCACTATTTTCTATCATTTTATCTTACTATTCAGGTCAAACTGTTAAGAAGCTAAGCCATGGTAGATGACTTCATGATTTGTTTGATCCTGGTACCAGGAAACACGGCTTTTGGAGCTTTTCTGCACATGTGATCATCAAAGGTGAAGCGCATTTTTTCACAACTTCAAAAACAAAGCTTGTTCATGTATTTGACCATGCTATGTGCTACATGTTTGAGGAAAAAATGTGATCCAGCACAAATATGATGAGAACAGAGAGTTATAAATGAATAAATACATCTTCAGTTTTCCTTAAACTACTGTAATACAATTTGGTGGTGTGCAGCGCCTTCTGGTCTGTTTCCTCTACAGCAGTTTATGTGTTAGGGAAGAGTTGACCTCAGTGCGATTCATGGTGGTCCTCAAAAGGACAACTCTATACTGCTCATGCGTAAAGGTGAAACTACATTTTAGTTAAAGCCCTCTGTGGTAGAAGTACAGGTAATGTCAAGAAGGAGTCTGAATAGGAAGGCACTAGTATAACAGATATTTTGGGAACATTTGTAAATCTTAGAACAAATAAATATAAGACTTTGTCTAAAATAGTCAACCAGATTTTTAAACATAAGCCATGTTATGTTACTGATTAATAGTAAGATGTCATACAAAGACAAGCAGATAACAAGCAGTGAATTCTTACTGTACAGCTGCATCGCAGACAAGGTCCATGTCCTGGAGGATGGAACGTCTGTCCATCAGTATATACAGTGCGCTCAAAATCACAGACTGCATAAAGAAAAATACACAAGACACCCAAACAGTAAGTAAAGTTCCTCTTTCAACTTTTTTGCTGTTATTTTATTATTGTGATTTTTCGTCCGTTAATCATTCAATAAGGTATTATTATTAACTTTGCTCTTTGTCCAAGCTTGCTTGGATTTCTCTTAAACAGCAGGCAATTTACTATAAAAGTAACACATTTCCCTTTTTTCTGAACATGTCTTACCATCACAGCTTGGGCAACACTGTCCTTTGACTTTGCCAGGGTGACTACACTTTGTAGGAGGACATCGTCTGTCCAAGTGATCACATGAAACTTCCCCATCCTAAGCAGGAGAAAGTAATGAATGTGTGCTCAGAGTTGTTAAGACCCAGCCCATACCAATGATTTTATCTACTCACTGAACATGTACAGCTGAGGCAGGGGTCATGAACAGTAGTGAACACATCACCTTCAGCATATGACTTGGAATCAAACTCGCATCCTTCACATCTAACAAGAAAATAAGTACAGAGAAAGCTGCCACAATTATAGGCAAAAGGAATAGAGCGTGACATATTCAGTTAAACACAGGAGGTACATAATGACAGAATTATAGAGATTTAATAGCATATTAAGTCTTTAAGGAAATCAGAGATGTTATGAATGGCTGATGTGCCAAGTAAGCGACCCCCTGTGTTTTTAGAGCAGAGGGGAAGCTACTCATTGCAGCACTATTACAGGACCTGGAACATTACTGTGAAAACAATGTAGCGCAGTGCTTTACTGGATCCCCGTGGACTTCTCAGGTATGACATATGCATTCTTACATTAGGCCAAGATGGGCCACCGTAACTATGCTTAAAAAATTATATCTGGTATTCAGCTTTAATGCTTGTAGTAAAGTCCCAGCTTGTATCCTTTGCCTTTAGTTTATTTGGGCCTAGCCTTGCTATTTAAAATTGCCCTGCTGCTGGCGAATTCTGCACTGTTGTACTATCTGCACCCTCAAAATTCTTGTAGTAAAACATCTGCCTGTACTCTTTTTTCCTCATTTCAGCTAATTCTCCCTCATTAAAATGTCGTACTGTTGGCCAGTTTTACACTACTGTATCATATGCAGTCTCCTAATTTTTAATGCGAGTTTGATAGAAATTGGCCTGGGGCAGGGCAGTTTTGCATCAGTGAGAACAGGGACAGTATTAGTAAACTATTGACCAGTTTTTATCTGCTATTTTTTTTTTAACCATTTTTTTTAGCAGTTGATGATAAAGCATGTGTAAATGATAAATCTACCTAAAAATAGTATTTTTTAAATTTAAATTAATCAGATTAGGGTTCCACTGTTATATGTAAGCCAAACTAATTGTAAAAGAAAACAAATTAATTCCACAGCCAAATATGCAGTGCCTGTATTCAATGTCACTTGGACTGTTCATAAAAATCGTACTATTCTGTAACATCACATACAGCTTGAAGGCATCTCCTAAGTATGTCATTTAGAGGATTTTTATATTTTCAATGTTGCACTTAAAATATCATGAAAAAAACCTCTATCTGTTTTTTGTCAAATATTTTTTGAATTGGCACAGGTTCCCAATGGCGCTGTCCAGCTTCCAATGCCATTTTGACAGTAGTGTGCCTATTAGCCCTAAAAATGACCAAAACTAAAAACAAAATTCACCTCCCCCATCCACAGACATCAATGGGATCAACCTCTAAGTTCAGGTTTGCTGAATTTCTAACAAGCTTTTCAACTTTGGAGAATTGAACCCAGGCACATTTGCCCATCAATATTAATCACCACAGCAAGGGGTCCAGATACCTTTACACATTATTAATATACAAGGGGAGTGATGGGATGCACCTCTAAGTTCCGGTTTGCTGAATTTCTAACAAGATTTTCAACTTTGGAGAATTGAACCCAGGCACATTTGCCCATCAATATGAATCACCACAGCAAGGGGTACAGATACCGTTACACATTATTAGTATACACGGGGAGCCCCATGGTGTCACAAACCGGTGAATTACATATACCGAGCTGCAGGGTACTCCCATTACAAAGCAATTAATGCAAGGCTTCTGTTGCCTGCTTATGGTGTAAATGAGAAAATTGGGAACTTGGCCTACAGACTGAATGAAATGAAGTAACCTACTGAAAACAATGGTAGGAGCTGATACTTATCTTTCTCGCCAGCCCCCATCTCCCCCAATCTGCCAATGAAGCACCCGAAATTCCTGCTCAAATCTCAACTTTCACAAACCAAAATACAGGTTAATTTTAGGCTTGTTGGCTACAGAAAGCTAAGAATAGCTTAGGATAAATATTTAATATAGTTACATACTATTTGTGGTTGAAAAAAGACTCAAGTCCAACCTATTGTGTGTATGTTTATGGTTCCACTGATGTGTGCATATGTATAGGTATCTGTGTGTTCTCATTCTTATGAGTACTTGTACCCCTGAATATTACGGTCCCTGAGGAAATCGTCCAATCGCCTCTTCAACAATTCCACACTTTCAGCCGAAATCACAGCATATGGCAGTGAGTTCCAGACCCTGACTGATCTAACTGAGAAGAAACCCCTTCGCCCCTTGTGCTACCAATTGTAGGTGGTAGCCTCTCGTCCTTGTCATGGAGCTAATTGTAAAGAGTTTGCTGCTAATGTTACTATCCCCGGTAAACATTTTGTACATTCGAATCATGCCCCCCCTTAATCTCCTTACTTCCAATGAGAACATGTTTAAATTTAGTAGCCTGTTCTCATAGCTCAGGTCCTCCATCCCCTTTATGAGTTGTGGAAACAAAGTTAAAATAAACTTGTGGAGGGCTGAAAGGGCAAAATAACCATTTGCCTGTTTCTGGTACACACCGAGTTAATGTCTGAACAGTAGAAGATTGTGTTTTCTACATCAACTAGTTTTAATTGTTTCCAGATGAGGAATCTGCATTCTTCAGTAAATCTAATTGTCTTATATTTGTGTGAAACATAAGACCTTAAAACTTTCCAGCTAATTTCCTTCTTTGTAGCTGTTCTATTGTCCATATTATTATTATTAGTTATTATTAATTGAATATGTGTATGTTTTTCCATTGGTTTATGCTCCGCCATCGCCCCTTTCACTGTCTATATAATCTTTTTACTTTAACAATAAACCTTTGAATATAGAGTGAATGCACTGTTTTGTGTGCTTCTGTATTCCCAAGTACTTGTCTGAAGCTGGCAGCATGATCAAATCCCGGGAAACCGAAATCGAGTTAAGTCCTACCAGGAGACATGGGTTCAAGTCCCACTACTGAGGGTTCAAGTCCACTCAGAGTAACTTTCCCATGGGTTAGAGGCCCATTTTTGGGGGTTAGAGTCCCTGCAGTGTAACTTTCCTGAGGAAACCTAACAAGGACTAAAACAGCTTACCTTGCACAGCATTCTCCTGGCTTCCGCACAGGGTTTCTGCATTGTGTTGGACTACATGGTATAGGACTACACTGGACATTTCCATTCTATATAACGGGAGATGGAAGAAAAGCTCTTACATTTAGAAATGAAACACATTTGTAATTAAAGTAAACCTTTCAGTTTGAAGAAAAGCTTCTTCTGGGTAACAGGCACCCTCTGGTGCTCCAGTTTAGCTTACCTTAACTTTCCTCCATTCTGCCTCAGTGCAATCCAAGGGCCCTCTGAAAATGCTATGCAAGTACTGACTTTCTTAAAGCTGGTAAATGCATATGACTGGGCTGTCCTCACATATCGACACTCTGATGGCTAGTTTCTCAGGTACTGAGAGCTATACTATTGGGGGGGAGGACTGAAGATAAAGGTCACGCAGTATCAACATGTTTGCGGTTTTTCAGGTGATACTAGAATGCATTGGGGGAGCATGAAAATACTAAGATGGGGCACTGAATGGTGCTTTCTATTAACTGGAAATGTTACTTTTCTTTACTCCAATGGTTTAACCAAATAATTCCTTTGTGTAATGTATCCACCTCAGAAAACCTCAGAAGAAGACAAAATAGTCTTGCCCTGATGCAAGGCTGAGCAACATTTAGATCTTGTTGTTTCCTGGCTGCTGAAAGCATGCATTCCAGGCTTTGGGCAAGTGCTGGATTTGACCATATGGTATGGAGCAATTACTGACCATATGGTAAAATTGCTGGCCATTCTTAGCTTGTATCATGTGCACGGTCCTGCCAGAATTCTCTATAGACAGGTTCAGCTTATGTTCACTAGAACTAGGACAAGATAATGAGTTATAATCAGTATGGGGAACCACCAGATTCAAAAGCTACTTATCCCTGGCCAGAACAGCCACCAAGAAGTAACTTTCATATACATCTGAGATCTATAATTAGATGCACAATCTGATCAGAAGGGCAAAGGGGGCTTTAAGTTAATACTGCAGTTATCTTTCCAGAGAACTGTGTTAAGAACAATTAGTAATCTGATCTATTATAAAAATGTTTCATACAGAAAAAATATTTAAAACTGGAACATAGAAAAATATCTCTTAGGATACTTTAATTAGAAGCAAATGATAAAATTCACCTCACATAAGCAACGTGTACAAGAGTCAGAACTTCTCACTGATTGTCCATTCTGATATGTACGGCCATTAAATGAACATCCTGAGAGAAAAGCAAAGCAAATACTGACATGTCACAGCAAAGTAGCATCATTAAAGGAAAAAAATAACATAAATGACAAGATTTCCTGTGCAAATACTATTGAAAGATATCAAATAATATTTTCCACTCACATCACAGGCTGTAAACAGTAAAAATGTATCTGATTTATGAGATCTGAAGCAAAAAACTGACTCGAAAATTGAGCTGCTGTCAAGAATAAGCAATAAGGTTTTATCTTTCAGTCCCTGAAAATTATAGAAAGTCTCTGAATCTGAGCAAAATAAGTATCTCATCTTCCAATTATTTAAAAATATAAAACTGGAGCAACAATTTAGCTGATGATAGTACAATTGTTAGGTTTCATCTTTCAGAAACCATTTTTTTTTTCTGTTGATTAGTTGCTGTGATAAAAAGTTAATTTGTTGCTCAAATTCCAATTACATATGTTAGAAATTTATATTATTATTCTTTTTAAACACTTTTATTGCTGACATTGGTGGGCACCAACTCCCCTTTATTGATGGCTAAAACATTATTGTTGTGCTAGAGTGTCTGTATCAACGCTATGTTTTCTCCATTGGACAGAGGAGCAAAAGGTTATAGAGAGGGGACACTGATAATCTCAGAGGGTCCTTCAAAGATAACCTAAGATAGTACAGACATGTACAAAAGAAGTTATATCCATTTGCTTTTAATAATAGGCCAAACCCAACAATGTTGCATATTTAACAAGACAGTATAGGGAGAAATGCCAGTGAGCAAAAGACAATGAACCACTAAAAACTTTTACTCTAAAATAGTGTAAATGCTAGCATACAAAAATGATGTCAGGTTCAGCATACTCTGCATTGCACTGACATTTTAAATACCTTTTTTTGTCAGATTTTCTAGCAGCCATGTGACTGCTCTAGCTCAGTTAACATCCAGTGCAGCAGTGGCTGTGGGAGTTTATGCCCAGCCTCCTTGGTGATCCTCTAGACTGACAACCTATGAGCTATTATGTGGCTATGACGCAAACTAGCAGTGTTGCCAGTCCTTTCCTTAAGAACCAAGGAGCTTAAAATGGGCATGGTAGCCAGGTAATAAAAAGTACAAATATGGGGGGGAAAAAAGAAAAAAAAAATGTACTCATTTGAAAATGTGTAGGGTAAGGCATTGTCTTATTAAATTTAATTTTAAGGGCATGCATATACTTTTAAGGAAACCTGTACTGAGAAAAATCTGGGGACGGGGGCCTGAAACAGGCATGCAGCTTAAAAGTCAGGGTAAATAAAAACTACTGATTTGCATATATAGTTTGCGCTGGGTCAGAGACACAGAAAGTACTGAAGAGACTGGATCAACATTATAGCCAGAGAACTGGTATTTTTAGCAAGGGAGGTCAGCAATATCAGCTTTTATACTTCCTCAGTACAGGCTTACTTTAAGAGATTATGTTTGATTTGTATTGGGAACTGCACTGTGCACATTATAATGGCTATTTATAACATATTACCACATTATGTTATGTGGTCTTTGAGCCCCTCAGTGACTTCACTGCCATTGCCATAGGTAGTGTGTGGGAAACCCCTGAGAACAAGACATGAGGATTTCTTCACAATCTTACCATCACATATAGGACAGCAAGTTTCTGGTCTAGGGGGTGCAGGGTTTCTACACAGAGAGGCACAGTGGCGCTTCCTACATTGGATTTTGCCTTCCTGAGTGCACAACAAAAATAAAATCATCACATAGCAAGAAAAACAATAAGAACTACTATAAGAGAGAGAAAGTGCAAAGAAATGAATGAAGGCAACATAATTCTCCACCATTAAACCAGGTAAGAAAAAGATAATGGAAGTAATATTATACTGCTACTGAAAAATAAAAAGACTTTCTATTATTTACCAAACAGCGGCAACTATGACATGGCTCTCCTTGGGGTCTCCACTCCTCCTCGTGCCTGCGGGTGATTGTGCCATCAATGCAGCCTTGTGTGTGGAGATATATGAGAAATGGATCAAAGCACGCAATAAGGCACAACGCAACATATTTAAAAGTTCTGTGTTAAGTTTATACAAGTATCGCACGCAACAGGCAGTATTGTAAAAGGACAGTAAAAGGCCATTACCTTGACACCTTTTGCAACATTCTCCAGGTATCTCTTCCTGCAGAACACAAGTCAGCTTTGGACAAGTCACCTGTATACACTGTATATTACCATTCTGTAAAAAAGAGCCCAGATTAAATATTATTAGCAGGGGGGACCATCATTAATTATATTAAGAGACAGTCAAAGATAATAGTAATATAAGAAGGTGTGCATTTCTGGTGTGTTACAACGCATATAAGTTATTTTTTCTTATAGTTACAACAATACCGACAAAAATAAATCGAACACTTTTGAATAGGCGCTGCAAACATGTTTCTAATACTGATAATGTTAAAAAACACTGTAAACAAAACCACTCAGCACACAGAGGATGTAAAGTTCCTTTACCTGGCATATACAGCTGTCACATGGGTTCCCATTACCCTGGAAGGATATTCCATTAGGTATAATGTCACCTTGTAAGTCACAAGCTGAACAATCTGGACAGCATGAACCCCGTCTGATGCCATTGGTGCAGGTCTGCTGACAACGTACGGCATCGATACACTTCACTTCACCATCCTGAACATTTTGAGAAAACATTGGATGAGACAAACGTGTTTTTTTTAGTTGTGTAAGAAGTGCAAACCTATTCTGCAGTGCTTTACAGATCTCATACAATCACTCACCTGTAATGTCTTACAATATAATAAAACAGCCACAAAGATGCATATATACACACTAAGGGGTCTATTAGTACATTAGTTCAGTGTGAGTTAAGCTGCTGTTATGAGAATGGGGCATAACGAATGTTAACAGCGTAATTTCTCTTCTGGTCGAATGTTTTTCAATGGGGAAAATGCTGCAATATGGCCACGAGATGGAGTAAAGTATCATAGGAAATAAATACATGTTAGTATGATCCACAGCTCCATCTAGTGGGCATAATGTATCTTCCAAATTGAAGAACGACTAGAAGATAAATGACTCTTGAATCGTAAAATGAATGGCAACACAAAACACCGTACTTAGTTCTGTGCTTTATGGTAACATACTGTATATGTTCTTGTGGACCCAGGACCCTAGTACTACCACAAGTAGTAAAACTAAAGAATGTATCATGAAATAAGAATTAGGGCTTGTTCACACCTAATGCGGACCAGATCTGCATGAGTTTCTGCACATGCAGTGCAGTGTGTTTTGCCGGGTTTTTGATGCATGGGACATGCTGTAGTTTTTCCTCATGCTCTGGAACAAAATGCTCTGGTATGAACTAGAGCCCAAAATACCATTGGAATACATTGAATGCATTTTTGAAGTGTTCTGTAACTGCTCTGCTCTGCATCTGCTCCGCACTTGGCTTACAATGAGCAAGAAGGAAAAACGAGAATCACGACATTTGCATAACATTGCATGGTGTTTACCACGGGTGCCCACAATATTTTGTGTTAAGATCTACTTTTCAAATGATGAGCTACATGAGATCTACCAACAAAAAAAAACATCCCTCGCTCTCTCTCTCCTGGCTGTCTCTCCTCGCTCATCCTCCTGGCTGTCTCTCCCTGCTCTCCCTCCTGGCTGTCTCTCCTTGATCTCCCTCCTGGCTGTCTCTCCTTTCTCATCCTCCTGGCTGTCTCTCCTCTCTCTCCTGGCTGTCTTTCCTCGCTCTCTCTCTCACCTGGCTGTCACTCCTCGTTTTCTCTCCTGGCTGTCTCTCTTCCCTCTCTTGGCTGTCTCTACTTGCTCTCTTTCCTGCCTGTCTCTCCTTGCGCTCTCTCCACTGGCTGTCTCTCCTTGCACTCTCTCCCCTGGCTGTCTCTCCTCGCGCTCTCTTTCCTGGCTCACCCTGCTGTATTTTGCAAACAGTGCAGTGCAACAGGCTGTGTAAACTAATATTCTTTGATGTAATACATAGCACTTCGACCACCAGAATCCACCAGAAAGGTGTCAGGGAGCTTGGCGCAGCATACTCGGGCTAATAGGTAATCATGTGTGCACAGCTAAATAAATATACCAAAATGGAATAAAGGGGCCGCCATTCACACCCTTCGTGATCTACCAGCATCAGCTTTGAGAGCTACTGGTAGATCACGATCTACCTAATGGGAACCCCTGGTGTTTACTAATATGAAAGCTGAAAGGAAAACACTATTCACATGTGGTATAATTCATTATAGAACCTTTCGTAGAGAAGTGCACTATTAGGCTGCCTTCACATTCAGCATTTGCTGTTCCCGCACAGTTTTCCGTGCGGGACGAAGATGCTGATATTTTTAAATCCGCATGGATGTCACTCGTTTGCGGCTATTAAATAGCGGCAAACTTTCGGGAACCACCGGATTATCGCGCTTGCACTTTTTCGGGTGCCGCGATGGTCTGAACGATGCATATTAAAGTGCATTGTATTCTCTGTTTAGAGCAGCTTCGCGCATATCCATACAGCTGAATACGCGTGGACAGTCGCTCAGGCGTGAATGGAGCATTACACCAGGTGTAGTTATAAAACTAAAGTAGTCGGCATAGCATTCCTGTCATACAAAGACTCGGGCCTCATCTATATGTCATCACAAAATCTAAAACATAAAGTCTACACTTGGTGTTTATAAATCCCCCACCAGGTCCAGGTAGAAATAAAGCTGTCATTGTGACTGACAGCTCACCCAGACACTTTAATTGGCTTCGCTTTGTACCATTAGTGCGGCTAAGTGTTGTAATCTCCTTTTATCTGTCAAAGAAGCCAAAGCCAGCAAACTTAAGCCATACCGTGAATACAAATTGCAAAGGCTACAAGTCAGGACTCCCTATTTTACAGTAAATGTCCACCTTACAAGATGAGATACAACTACGAAACCACAATTTGTCTAGATATAGCTAGATTGTTCAGGAAAAATACTAATTCAATAGTATACCAATAGCAAACAGAATAGTATGCAGGCAAAAAGGTGCATACACATACACATGCACACAAAACAAAACAACACACCACACATCCAGATACACTATACTAATTAATATATTTCAAAATTAAAAATGTAACTCTCAAAAGAAAATGGTTTCCCAGCTGTTAAGAGAACACTTTAAACAGTTTATACTACAGTTCCCATTTAGTTTATTAGACCCTGGCCTGGAAAATTGTAGAGCTTTGATTAACAGTCATGTATAGCAATACGGGAAGACTTTTTAAAATTACTTTTCATTAACAATACTCACCAGACAGACACAATGTTGGCAGCCATCTAAGGTGGTAACATTCTGGCCAGGGAACAAGGGACGCCCGTTAAAATCACACACTAGGAGGAATAAAGGGAACAACATGTAGGTGATGTCACAGCCATCTTGAGGAAAGGCTTCACTGGCCATAGATCTCGCCGATGCCTGTCATTGTGCCAACCTGCAGTAAGAGGGACAGACACCATGGTCTATTGATCCCTTCTTCTTCTTCTTCTTCTTCTTCTCATCTCCCTTACTCAGATGTGCTTTTGGCATTTAAACTACTACTGCTACATCCTACTCATGTCCTTTGCCCATTATCTTAAAGTACAATGCCAAACTGTACTTTTCTAACCACCTTATGGAGGTCACAATATGATCCAATTGCTCCAAAACAGCCAGTATCTGCAGAGCTTTTCAATAAACATTTAGTTTTGAGATTTGATTCAAGAAAGTACCTCATGATTTATCCGATCACTCCAATACAATAAATAATACAGTCTTGACAAAGATAAATCATTTTTAGGTTATTTGCTACATAGACTGGGTTACCTTACTATTAGGAAATTATTTTTACCTGGACACGAGGGGCAGCACTGACCAGGAGTGGGCACCGGATTCTTACAGGGGACTACAGGACACTGAACAGGAAAACAGCGCACTAGATTGTTCTGCAACAAAACGAGAGAGAATATCAAAATGGGTATTGCTATAACAGCATATCAAACAAAGATGGCCTAGTCACACTGATGGGTGATAGAGCGGAAGGCAGGTAGTAACAATTGGATTAAAGTGGACCTAAAGGACCAGCATATACTTCCTGGACTGAGACTCCGTCCAGGAGACTATAAATCATGTAAATCCTGGTGCATAGTGTCTTGGTAAGATGGGCTGAGCTCCATCAAAAGTTGACAATACAATACTGATGCTTTGACTTATTTCCACTGCAAATCCCATGAGTGCCTCTATACCTACATTGAATCCTGGTGCATATGTAGTTCTACACAAACGTCTGATACTAATTAGCAACCTACAGCTGCCGCTCACCTTGTGACTTGCTATAAAGATACTCAGCTCCCAACTGTCCCTCATTTGGAGGAACTGTCCTTTTTATAGAACTTCTTTCCTCTATTTCACATTCCTCCTTTTTAGGCATGATGTATAGACCTCTATAACATAAAATGTATGGATGTCATCAGCAGACTGGTAACACTGTCTCAGGCTAGGCAAAGTCACTTGAGAAGAGCTCAAGGGCTGCTCTTTTTGATAAAGGGCACCTTTTTTAATGATACTGCTGCTGTATATTGAACCATGTCAGGAATTTACCCCTGCAGACTTGTAAAGTTACTGAAAGGTCCAGTTTAAATACTGTAGAATAATACATAAAGCCAAGAGAACAGCATGTACTGTCATAGGGATAACACTGACTATTGGGAACTTTAAAAAAATTCAAACCTGCCCAATCAAATTAGAGTGCATCTTTTGCTTCTAAATTAATTAACTATGGTAACTTTATAAACGAATCACTGGCACAGCAAATGACTAGGCCTGAAGCCTACAACAAAGGAGGTGATCCAAACAGCAACCGCGGCTCTTTACAAGATCCCGCTGTATGTGTATGCGTTTTTCTTACTGTGAGGAGAGTCTTAGAGTGAGCAAAAAATAACCAAATACATTGTTTCTTTCTATATTTTCAGTATTTCTTATACTGGGTTTCTTTGTAACATAAAGTAGAAGGACGGTGCAAATGTAAGTAGAAGGGGCCTGTCTCAAAGATCTTGCTAAAAGTCCAACATTTAATGGAAGCTTAGGAATGGATTACAATACATACAGCATTTCAGGGCCTCACATGACCCCTTAATAAGGTGAGGTTGGCTGATGATAATTCATATACAGTATGTTCTGTGTGATACCAATCCCACCCTAAACCCAGCCAAACTGACAAGGTTGAGTCCAGTATGGTGTCCCATGGGAATATAGTAATATAGTAATTGGACCAAATGATCTGTCAATATACCTTCTATAAAAAATGATTCATTTATAAGATCTGGACTGAGACTCCGTCCAGGAGACTATAAATCATGTAAATCCTGGTGCATAGTGTCTTGGTAAGATGGGCTGAGCTCCATCAAAAGTTGACAATACAATACTGATGCTTTGACTTATTTCCACTGCAAATCCCATGAGTGCCTCTATACCTACATTGAATCCTGGTGCATATGTAGTTCTACACAAACGTCTGATACTAATTAGCAACCTACAGCTGCCGCTCACCTTGTGACTTGCTATAAAGATACTCAGCTCCCAACTGTCCCTCATTTGGAGGAACTGTCCTTTTTATAGAACTTCTTTCCTCTATTTCACATTCCTCCTTTTTAGGCATGATGTATAGACCTCTATAACATAAAATGTATGGATGTCATCAGCAGACTGGTAACACTGTCTCAGGCTAGGCAAAGTCACTTGAGAAGAGCTCAAGGGCTGCTCTTTTTGATAAAGGGCACCTTTTTTAATGATACTGCTGCTGTATATTGAACCATGTCAGGAATTTACCCCTGCAGACTTGTAAAGTTACTGAAAGGTCCAGTTTAAATACTGTAGAATAATACATAAAGCCAAGAGAACAGCATGTACTGTCATAGGGATAACACTGACTATTGGGAACTTTAAAAAAATTCAAACCTGCCCAATCAAATTAGAGTGCATCTTTTGCTTCTAAATTAATTAACTATGGTAACTTTATAAACGAATCACTGGCACAGCAAATGACTAGGCCTGAAGCCTACAACAAAGGAGGTGATCCAAACAGCAACCGCGGCTCTTTACAAGATCCCGCTGTATGTGTATGCATTTTTCTTACTGTGAGGAGAGTCTTAGAGTATAAAATACATTGTTTCTTTCTATATTTTCAGTATTTCTTATACTGGGTTTCTTTGTAACATAAAGTAGAAGGACGGTGCAAATGTAAGTAGAAGGGGCCTGTCTCAAAGATCTTGCTAAAAGTCCAACATTTAATGGAAGCTTAGGAATGGATTACAATACATACAGCATTTCAGGGCCTCACATGACCCCTTAATAAGGTGAGGTTGGCTGATGATAATTCATATACAGTATGTTCTGTGTGATACCAATCCCACCCTAAACCCAGCCAAACTGACAAGGTTGAGTCCAGTATGGTGTCCCATGGGAATATAGTAATATAGTAATTGGACCAAATGATCTGTCAATATACCTTCTATAAAAAATGATTCATTTATAAGACCACATAGAAAAATGCCAGAAATTAAGAGTGTCACTCACCATACATGAACAGTTCACACAAGGATTACTCTGTGAAAGAAAATATTCCCCATTGCTGTATGTCAGCCCCTCATATTCACAGCCTGAAAACAGAAGAGGTATTTGTCAACATTCATACTTGATGCTGGTAACACCGCAGCTCAGAACACCAACTGCTATAACAGTTACCATTATGTGGTCAAGCTCTCACCTTGCTGGCAGACTGAACAGCACTGTCCAGGTGGGGTGAACCTTTTCAGACAGGTAAGCTCTGGGCAACGTTCTTTTAAACAGTGGACCGTTCCATTCTAAGAGCAGATCCGCAAAATATTTACCAGAATGCAATAACAGATTTAAACACCAAAATAATGTCCAGGTACAGTATATCAGTAAATAAATGAAGAACTTTAACATTTACATTTCCAGCACTTAAAGTGACACTAAACGAAGGAGTAAAATCTTAAAAATGCATTCAACTACCTTAACTATTAACAAAAATGTATCTTATTTGTGTATCACTCAGCTGCAGATCCTCAAATCATCTCTGAATTGGTGCTGACACTGTCCTTCCTTCTGGAGGGTGGTTACATTGTTCCCCATGGTCCGTGTGTGTGTGTGTTATAAAGTAGTCACCGCTCCAAGCTCACTCCGGTGATGGGCTACAATCTCAATACAAATTAGTAAACTAAATGTGAGATTGTAGTGCATCACAGGAGCGCCCTTGGAGCTACTAAACACCCAGGGACCATGGGGAAAAAATAAGTCACCCTCCAGAAGGAAGGACAGTGTCAGTATGAATTCAGAGATGATTTGACGATCTACAAATAGGATACATTTTTATTAATAGTTGAGACACTTTAATGTTTTGGAAGATTTAACTCTTGAGTGTAGTATCACTTTAACCCCTTCATGACTGAGCTTGTTTTTAGTTTCTGTTCGTAAATGACTGACACACTTTTGACATTTTTGCTGTGTGATTCTTCCACGTCAGTAATATACTTTCTTACAAAGTGCACCCACACATATTATATATTGTTTTTTAGAGGACAGATAGGGCTACATATTTATATCACATATGTCTGTCTAACGCCTCACTTAGGACAAATAAAATATTAAAAAAGAGGAAAATGGCCTGGGACTGGCTCGGGAGGGTGTCAGGAGAAAGATGGGAGGGAGATCAGCGTCTTCCTCCTTGCTGATCTCCCTCCGGCGTCTGAATGCGGAACTGATGTGTAGTACATTACTTTTGCATTCACCTGTCAGTCCTCTGTCTGCTGTAGCCAGAGAGAAGAAGCTGATGAATCAGCTTCTTTGGTGGTCCCCAGGTGACCCCTAATGTCTCCATAAAGAGGACCTGTCAGTGTGCCTTTGCTATTATATGGGGAGATTGTTTCCCCCTATGGGATAGCAAAAACATTAAGTGTAAAAAAATTAAAACAGTTAAAAAAAATAAGTCACATATAAAAAAAGTTGAAAAAACCCCAAAAATGTTTAATTTCCCCACATTTACGCACATATAAACGTAAATACGTGTCAGATACGCCAGCACGCGAAAACGACAATTGCGCTACACATGTTACATATCGCCGTGAACGTCGGAGTGAAAGCAATAATTCTAGGCCCACAATCACTGATAACACTAAACTGATGAGCGGTAAAAGCTTTTAAAATGTCGCCTATGGCCAATTTTGGGTATTGTAGTTTTTTGAGGTTTCGCGGCGCGCAATTTTAAGGCTTGACATGTTTGGTGTCTTTTTACCCGATGTGACCCCATCTTTTATATTTTACCAAAAAACTGGGTAATAATAAATGTTTCATCATATAATATAGGGAAACAGTTTCGTTTTTAAAAAATTTCGGTAATTTTTTCTTAATATAGTAAAAAATAAAACTCCCAGTGGTGATTAAATACCACCAAAAGAAAGCTCTATCTGTCCCCAAAAAATTGTATAAAATTCATTTCAGTACAGCGTTGCATGACGAAATAAATGCCAGTCAAAGTACTGCAGTGCTGAATACTGAAAAGTGACCTGGACAGGAAGGTGGCTTAACACTGCGGACTTCAAGTGGTTAAGTTGTGAAAATAGAGCCTGTTTGCAGAATGACTGAATGTCACAATCCATTTATTTATAAATGTATTTATTTGTAAATTGCATATTTATGGGTAAGATAGTATTCAAAGTAGCAAAATGGTCGAAGTCATCATTTAGACAAATCTCAAAAAACCCACAAGTACTCCCCAACCCCAGTTCATCTTTGGTTGCAGCTGGTATTATAGAACCTCCATCATGGCCCATTCTATTAAGTACTAAATGATCATCTCAGCTTTTCTAAATGAACTCAGCAGAGCTTGGTAAAAAATTCCTTTAAGGATGTGCTTATATGTCAGATGAGTGTAACCAGAGAGAGATGAGCAGGATCAGAGTGTTTCCTAATTACCATAAAGGGCCATGCTGAATGGTCTGAACGCTAGGAGATAGATGACATACAGAGATATTTCACTATGACGGTAGAATGTGATTGTTCTTATTAACTGGCAGGAATGATTTCACTGTTCTCATTGAAATTGAGTTTCATGGTGCTCAAAGTGAATAAATCTACATTTTAATGTGTACAAAGTATAATTCGCTATACTGTAATAAAAGGAATTCTTATTCACTTAACATATTTTAAGAAGCTCTTTACTTACTCTGCATGTACAAGTTGTACACAGATCTGGCTGAAACATTTCACCATTCCTCACAATATGCCCCAGGTATTCACAGTTGGTACATTCCGGGCAGCACTTCCCAGGAGGAGTAACAGGGTGTTCACAAGTTCTTGGACCACATGCCTCAGTAATACATCTGACCGAGCCCCCCTATGGTAAACAAATATAATTATAATTTCACTTTTAGTTTCATACTGATGCTGTTGATGATCACAAAGGCAATTAAAAACTGCAGTCTGTCACAAAAAACATAAAGTCAAGCCAATAATTAAAGATAAGAGCCAGGATATCAAATGCTGTCTAAATACAAGAGCCATGTATATTCTTCCAGATCTGTGCAGTAATCCAACATGAAAATGTTCCTCTATACAGGAGCTACCTGTAATAAAAACCAGCCACTGCTGCTCTCTCTATTTGTTCAGGGTAACTGGTCTTGTATCCACCCCCTCCTGTAGTTTTTAGAAGGCAGCCTGTAGTGGGTGGAGCTGCTGAGCCCCTCCCACAGGCTACGTGCAGGACAGTGATGATTTTACTGCTACTTTCACAGGGCAATACATGGGTTTGCAAAGTTGTTTGGTGCACACAAAGTGAATTTATATATTTTGTGGCTATTAAGGAATATATGTAAATAAACTTTTTTTGTGCCCAGAGTTCAGCTTCAAAAATGCTTTTTTTACATGAATGTAGAATCATGGGTGTGCAGACAGATTATTATTTTTGTGCAGTATTTATGCAACTAAGATACTTTAGACAGCTATAGGCTGCTATAGGCATTCTTCTGTTTATAAATGAGCACAATTGTGTTCTATGTACCATGTATTATGTTTACCTGACAGATACAGCTCATACAAGGGTCTTTTCTCCATGTATCTCCTTCTAGATGACCATCAGAGCAGCCTATAAAACAGGCACACATAAAAAAATAAGATGAAAACAGAACACATAAGGGCAAATTCTTGAAAATTGAGCACTCAGCATTACAGTAAACCCATACAGGATAGATTGCTGACAACATATTTTTGGCGGTGCTGGGAGTAAAAATTGTGCTGTTTCTGATGAGAGAGGCTGAATTGAGTGAAAAAGCACATATTTATCTGGGGACTGAAGAACTGCTGGCTGCAATTCAGCTGCATGACCAATATCAAGATTCTGCACTTAGGAAGCCAATTTTATATGAGTAATCACACTTCATGAGTCTCAGTGACCACATATTAACAAAACATAAATTCTATAACCATATGATTACTAATTGATGATATTTAAAGTTTCATCATTTCTTTTGGAGCTATAACATTGCAGATTTTACAAGGTAGGCCTTTAAAACACTCATCATATTCCCTTAACGCAGACCTTGCACCTAAATAGCAAGGTCCGCTTATTTAATGTGCCCCCCATTCTTGCTGAAATGTTGCATTGACCTAGATTATTAAACCTAAACTGAAATGTTGCATTGACCTAGATTATTAAACCTAAACCTTGACCTAAATTATTTGGAAAAACTAAAAAAAGCTCTGGCTGGAATTTTGCTTTAATACCAATTAATGTTTTCACTTACATTTCTACTTACCTCCTTACATGTGCTTGGCAGTCTGAAGTTTGACCTTTCAGAGATAAAATTTAATAACTATCATATCCAAACAAGTAGCCTTCAATACCAGGTATTGCAAAAGAGAAGGCCACATGTAACATACTGATGTCTGAGTGGTGTCAGTAAGTGGCCAATCCACCAATTTATTGAGTTCAGGTGTTTCCAGAGACAGGTACTGTTAATGCTACAGAATACACAGACATTTTAGACAAATGTGCACCTCCAACCTTGTTGGTGAAAATGGTTTGGGGAAGGTCCGTTTATGTTCCCCAATGATTGTGCCCCTGTGTTCAAAACTAGATCCGTAAAGACATAGTTTAATAAGACTGGTGTGGAGGAATTCGATATGCCCGCAAACAGCCCTGACCTCAACCTTAGTGAACACCTTTTGGATAAACTGGAATGCTGAGTTTTTTCATCCAACATCTGTACTTTACATTACTAATGTGCTTTAGGCCGAATGGGCAAAAATTCTTAAGACACACTACAAAACCTTGTGGAATGTCTTTCCAAAAGAGTGGAGGCAGTTATAGCTGCAAAGAGGATTCATGAGTGTTGGAGGGGCAACTCCATATAGCATGTCCAAACAATTAATGGAACTGTGATGGTTAAGTCTCCACAAACCTATGACTATATAGTGTACATTAAAGTGTAAAAGGAATATTCCCCTTGTTATAGTGTAACTATGACCAAAATAAAAAATTACATATACGATGCAGTCTGTCACTGTCCTCCCATAATATAACAACACCTGTTGATACTGCCAGTCGATCAATTATTTTAACACTTACTGTAATTGAGTGGCAATGCTTTTCATTCTGCAGTGTAATTGTTCAGCAACATTGTCACACTAGAGACATGGTAGTAATAGATGGATGTGCAGTGTAAAATGGACTTTAAAAGAACAACTCCAGGCAAAATTGTTATTAATCCTTGCATTGGGGTTATTTCCCTTATTTGGGAAAATAAGGTTTAAGTAAAAGGTTTAAATAAAGGCTGACCATTGTAAGCACCTCCACAAGTATTTTTTCCAGCAGTTACAGCTGGAAAAAATACTTGTGGAGGTGCTTACAATGGTAGCTGGACAGCTTAGGTAGAAAAATAATGGATCTCTTGGCAGGCTCAACATATATTAAAACTATATTACAGGAGGTTGTGAGTGTATAGCCCAGCACTCCTAGTGTTCTCAAACTAAAAAGAAGTACTATGGGCAAAAAGTATCTAAACCATCAAAAAAACAATTTTCATAAATAATGCATTAAAATTGTAACAATCCTAATCTGCTGTAATAATATATACAAGTACAAATAAAACTGCATTGTCTAAAAAAGAGTGCTCTCGGGAAAAATGTATCATCTTCCAAAAAGTATTCTTGGAAATAAAGTGGCCAGTGCATTTAATTACCTCTCCATTTTTTCCATGAATTACATGAATTATTCACCACAGTGAGACCTGAAGGATTAAGGACTCACCAGATGATTTTGACCACTTCTCTCAAAGTTAGTCAAAATTCTAATTTTTGGCTAAATCCACTATCCTTACCTTCTCTCGTCTTCCAATGTGCTGGCTCTCCTTGTCCTTCAGTAGCAAATATAAGGGAGATAACACTAGCATTGCATAAAACCTTTTAAAACTTTATGTAAAATGATATAAAGAGAAACTCACATCCCATGTGCTATACAGCATTGTTTAAAAAAAACGCCTTATTAAACAAGGCAACATTTACCAATATTTCCAAATGGACGTGATGGCATCACAGAGTGTCTCCACTCAGCGTGTACCGTCCAAATACAACTTCTTTAAGAGTGGTCAAAGTTTAGTTAAAGAATATTTTAAGACTCAGGAAATCAAAAACTGTTGCATTAAACATTAAAGGAGAACTATGGCCTGAGTGAATTACACTCATCCCCATAGTTAGAGCTGACGTGTGACACTGAAACTGTCACACGTCGGCTCTATTGGTTGGGTAGTGAGTGAAAACATATCGGCGCTTGCTCACTTCCCAATCGTCTCCCTGCAGAAAGCGGTGACTGTCAGTCACTGCTCCTTGCAGGGATTCCCCCAGCTATGCCCATCCCCTCCCCTGTCCGACCCTCCAGTCAGCGCTGGAGGATCAGAGAGGGGAGGGGACAGGCATAGCTGGCTCTGCCTCTAGATTTGTGTATCACTCAGCTGTAGATCCTCAAATCATCTCTGAATTGGTGCTGACACTGTCCTTCCTTCTGGAGGGTGGCTACTTTTGTTCTCCATGGTCCCTGTGTTGTAAAGTAGCCACTGTTCCAAGCTCCCTCCCATGATGGACTATAATCTCAATGCAAATTAGTAAACTAAATGTGAGATTGTAGTCCATCATGGGAGTAAGATTGGAGTGGTGGCTACTTTGCAACACACACAGGGACCATGGGGAACACAGGTAGCAACCCTGCAGAAAGAAGGTCAGTGTCAGCATGAATTCAGAGATGATTTGAGGATCTACAGCTGAGCAATACACAAATAAGAATTTTTTTTGTTAATAGTTAAGGTACTTGAATGTATTTTTAAGGTTTAAATCCTGAGTTCAGTGATACTTTAAACTTGAACTGGGCACATGACAAAACAGCATACACCTTCACCTTTTTCACTGGCACTTGGTGCCTAGTATAATGATGTACCCATTCTTTATTTGCAAAGACCATCAGTAATATATTTTTTGGAAATAATGAGAGCACTCATCAGTGGCGTAACAACCGGGGGGGGGCAGCAGGGGCGCGGGCCCCGGGCGAAAAGTGAAGGGGGGGCGCCGGCCGAAAATTGCACTTTCGGCTAAATGCCGAAAGTGACATTTTCCTGCCGTTTTGTCGGCGCGGCCGTGATTCCTTTCATCCCCGCTGGGTCACAGAGCAGTGCCCAGCAGGGATGAAAGGAATCAGAGAGAAAATGACAGGCGGCCGAGCGCTGCGGGACGAGCGCTGCGGGACGAGCGCTGCGGGACGAGCGCTGCGGGACGAGCGCTGCGGGACGAGCGCTGTGAGCGGCCTGTGTCTTTCCTCCCACACCACTCGGCCGCCTATCACAGTGCAGCAGAGCGGTGTGGGGGCGGAGACAGCCAGCGCTGTCACAGGAGGCTGGGCTCTCCTCTTGCAGCCTCCTATGACAGTGTGTGTCAGAGAGGAGAACGGGTACAAGCACTCAGTGATCAGTGATCGCTGAGTGTTTGTACATAATTGAGGACCTGGTATGTATACTATATCCTCAATTATGAATGAATGGGAGTGATCTACATCTCCTCCTGTTCATTCATAATTGTAGTTATAGTAAACATACCATGTTATCAATGAACAGGAACACTCATAAAGGATTCCTGTTCATTGATAACAGGGGACACAGAAAAAGAGATTGAGGACTCTGTGTCCTCAATCTCTTTTTCTATTTTTAAAGGGAAATATTAGGGGTCTGTTTAGACCCCCAATATTTCCCCAAAGCCCCTAAAAGTAAAGTAAAAAATAAAAATATTTAATAAAAAATGAATTAATAAATAAAAATTAATTTAAAAAAATGAAAAAGTTTCTAAAAAAATAAAATATTAAAATTTGAAAAATTAAAATAAAAACATGTGTGTGTGGGGGGGAGGTGCAGGGTACAGTTCCAGTGGTTGTTTATATAATGGGTGGGGGGGGCGAAAAAAAATTTCTGCCCCGGGCGCCCAGAACTCTGGTTACGCCACTGGCACTCATTACCTCAATGCAGGACAAAAGACTCACCAGTTGGACAGCGAGGGCAGCACTCTGTAGGCAACGTCACTGGGTTAGAACAGGCCACTGGAGGACAAGTCTTTTGGACACAGGTCACCTCACCACTCTAAAAGGAGAAGACTGATCAGCCTAGACTAAACTAACATGTATGATTTTTGCAGTGCTCAACAACATGTTCTCATTATTACAGAATCCAAATGGAGAGATGCATGTTAAAATGTTTAACTCAGTAAATGTATTCCATGCTGCTATTTCCCAGAGCAGAAACAAATTAAATATGTTTAGTTCAACCCCATTTATCTAAGTTCATCTGGATTCCATAATAAAAGTATGGCAAGATAATATTTTGCAGAAACTGTCCCAAGAATAACGTAAATCTTATCGTATATAAAGACAAAGTTCCCCCTACTTAGTACCCCATAGCAGTGGACTCTGTGCTACTACAGCCACACCTAGTCAAGTGCTGATATTTCTACTAACAATAAAATACATTAGCCCAGACTGATTCTTCAGATCTCACCCCTAATTATTACTAAGAGGGATCAAAAAGCAGCCATATCTAAGCCAGATTCCATTCTGAGCATCACTCTTAAGCAGGCCATACATCAGTATAATTTCATTAAAAAAAAAAATCCCTTGATTTTTGTAATAGTTAATGGGGTCAAACTGATGATCATTTTTGACTACAATGATGAAAAATATCAAAGGAGCAGGATGGAAAATTCTAACAGAGAATGTGGTTTTCATTGAGGAAACTATTAATTCCAACATCCAATGTTAAAATGAAACAATTTTCAACGACATTTGCCAAGTCTCAGACATTATCGAATGTTCTGATAAAATTTTCCATATAAAAATGTTTGTATGAAAATCTACTAGTATATGGCCAGCTTTAACAATTTGGCTGTTTTCGACCCCCTAGGGTTGATAATAAGTGTGCTCAGGAGCTAAAGCCAATTGTTATCAAGAAATGCTCTAACATGCTTCACAAACTTCTTGTGGGTAGGGCTCAGTCTGAAAAAAATCAGATTATGATTCATGAACGGCTGTCAACATGGATGAGAACCATGCTGGACTCGTTCAGTTAGGAGCAGATATCTCTATGCCTATTGTTCTCGGGGAGATATAATCCCATATATGGGCAGCCTAATAGTAAACTTAATAGAATTCAGATGGTGGTCACATGCTTTATATTACAAACATGCATGGGCTGTGAACTGCAGGGACTAACCAGGAAGCTCAGTAGCCAAGTAAAAATGACATGCCAATGAACAAAATGACATTTGCATGGTTTAATTTTTTAGTTAAGATGGTCATAAATGGGTTAAATATAGCTAGCTATGCTCCTTCACAGGTATGTTGTATTCGCATAGGGCATCATAGTGAAAAGGCAAAAATGTGGCTTCCTAATGCTCTTCAGTTATATTCTTTTGATACATAAACTTTTGTAAACAGTTCAGCAGATATCTGGCTTTGCTGCACAGCTTACAAAAAGACAAATAAGGATAACATTGCAGCACTAAGTAATAAATAGCAGTCTTTATGTAAGTCATACAAAAGAATAATAAAAAACAGATGTGCTGATAAAAACAATGTGCTCAACATGAAGGTGTACCTTCCCTCACATAATACAAATTACAATGTTACTAATGGTTAAAACCAAACATAGAAATGAACACTCACAGATAGTTCAGGAAATAGATTAGAAAATACTTCATACATGCCATCTGTTCTCATAATGTCTGGTAAGGCACTTGTTTTGTGAAGAACAGTCCAGCTGCATATTGTTTGTAGAAAGCAGAAAAAATCTGCAGGCCTTATTTACTAAACTGTAAAGTGAGGTACAAACATACCTACACTTAAAGTGGTATTAATCTAAAAACTGTTTTCAATAATGAATCAAGATCAAGCAAATATACAGTGCCCAGCAAAGTATTTCTTTACATTTACATTTTTCTTTACATTTTTGCCCAAACACTTCCACTCATCATGTTTCCAAACAGCTGGCTCAAACTCTCTCAGCTCAGCTTCCCTGAACTTCCTGTCCAGTACAAGATCACAAGGGACAGAGCAGTCTCCAGTAGCTGTCAATTTACTGGAATCGAGAAGGGGGGAAGGAGGAAGTAGGAGGGAGGAGGGGAGTGGGATGCCTTGTTGTGTCTGTGTGTTTATGAAGACACACACAACTTACTATCTCACTCAAGGGTGGCTCCATAGGACGCTGCAAGGGAAAGGAGCTACCCTAAAGGATATCACGACCAGTACTCAGAGGACCAGTTGATTCTGCAATAGGCTATCCATTGTAAAATATTTCATCAGGATTTGAAACAGCTTAAAAACCTTTTGACTTGAATATTACTTTAAAGGAGAACTATGGGGTTAAGTATTTTCCCCATAGTTCTCCTCAGGGTAACGGGAGGACACAAACTAGCGTCCTCCCGTCACCCTAGGCTCAGTATACCACGAGCTACAGCTCGCGGTATACTAAGCCTAGGGTGACGGACTCAGTAGAGACAAGACGCCACAGTATATGGAATATACTCAATATACTGTGACGCCGCAGCTGAAGCGGATCCCGACAATTGTGCCAGGATCCGCCCAGCTGCATGACTGACAGCTGGCTTTGCCTATCTGGAGGCAGAGCCAGCTGTACCCGCCCCCTCCCCGTCCGATCCACCAGTCAGCGCTGGCGGATCGGAGCGGGGAGGGGGAATCCAGCCCCTCCCCTGTCACGGCAGAGAGCCCTGACAGGATTGAAAGGTGAGCGAACGCCGGTATGTGTTCGCTCACCTCCCGATCTACTGAGCCGACCTGTGACAGTCTCATTGTCACAGGTCGGCTAGAACTATGAGGTGAGTGAAAAGCACTCACCTCATAGTTCTCCTTTAATGCTTACAGTCTTGACGGGCATGAATAAAGAAAGAATATTAGATGTACTTACATAACTTATGAAAAAAGTGCTGCTTCAGGCTCCAACTAGCACTAGTCATGTGATGAAAAGCCTAGGCATTTTGTCATGTGATCTGTTGAAAGGAACAACCAGAGCTAAAATTGGCTGATCCAGCCTTACAACCGAGATCATGTGACCAGAGGCCTAGGCTTCTAGTCACGTGACTAGCAAAAGAGAGATCCACGAACAACCTTTTCTCTTGTAAGGTTTCCACCCAGCATGACTGTTAACATTTGAGAATAGGCCTGCTTAACAATTAAATGAAGTGAGCAGAAATAACCAATGATGTGCAGGAGAGTTTTACAAATATACTGTATATGTTAATTTGTCTACGATTAGATGTTAAAGTGAATGTGGATTTATTTCACTGAACTTTACACTTAGTAAATCAGGCCCCCAGCAGATCATATGCATTTAGAGTGCCTCCAACAGGGTACATACTGTAACTCTTGTGTAGTAGTGTGGTTTCTGTGTAGTGGTCCTAGATTTCAGATTTTAGATATCTTTGAGATATTTGCCCATCTTTGACCAGCATCAATAAAGGTGTATTTCCATACAGTATTCAGGAATATAAAATAACTTCATCTGAAGTATTGCAAAATCATAACATATGTCTTACTTTAATAATAACCCATAGAAAGTTAAATTAAATGAACATACGTTATGGTTTTCAATATGTCTTTTTCTAATTTATAACCAATGCAAATGCATGTGTTTTATGGAGGGGGGCGGGGGTTCTAGTGCTTAATAATACTAACCTGGCAGACACAGGAAGTGCAGGAACCCACAGAGAAGTTCTCCTTGTTACTGTATATTCTCCCTTCATAAGTGCAAGCTATTAAAAGAAAAACACATCATCTACTACATACTATACAGAATTGTGTGCATTGTACGTAAAAAGAATTAGATACATAAGGTGGCAGACTTATTTTAATGTAAATATGCATTTGCAAGGTGAAAGGTATTGTGGAAAGGCCTGTGCTGAGAATGCACTCATATTCACCATATGGGCCTGTCTGTTTGAATAGCATAGCCTGGCATGAGTCCTTTTAGGTTGGACATCGCTGCACTCCTGTTTTGCTAATACAGTCATCTTAACTTTTACTTCTTCACTTCACTTTTACATACTTTGGTGTCCACCTTTCTAGGATGAGAACGGTGGACACCAAGTTATCAGCACCAGTGTGAAGCGTTAAAGAGTGCATTTTTACAGATTTATACACATCAGATGAAAAAGAGGAACAACTGAAGAGGGACAGTTGGGGGCTATGAATACTATACTGTGCCAGCAGTGGTGGCATTTCTCTACGAAAACCTACAGATAACGTGCTGGTTGCTCTGTATACTGGAATCATGTTAACACTATTATGTTAGTAATTCTAAAGACATCACAATATCTTGCTTTTCTTCAAAACTGTTTCATTGATACAACAGGTTTTAATATGTACAGTATGTCTGAACTACTCTGTCTACAAGTCAAGAGTCAAATACAAAAATATGTATCAAGAAAGAGGGAAAAAAACATATTTCAAGTAGTTTCCACATACCAGCCAATAAAGAGCACAGATATTGTATGTACATTGCTTGACAATCTTTTATATACAACTTAACAGGAATGAATGGTCCTCATAATTGTCTACCATGATATTTACCTCTCTGTTTCTCTAACAATGCTTGCCAGGTCAAATGGAAAATGTGAAACTCCTCAGTAGGAGTATAGACAGCAATTAAAAACCTAACAGAGGTTGCAATAGGGGGGTGGGGTCATGTTGATGGGGTCCTGGTGGTGCACCACCGAGCTCTGGCAAGTGTCACGCCCAGCTCACTGATTTCACTGGTTGCCAGGAGCTGGGTGGGACACCAACCAGAGTGTTCCAGGTTGCTAAAAGCTGGGAAGGGAGATGTGTATGGCCCTTACACATCTCCCCAACCAGCTCTTAGCAACCTGGGATGCTCTGGCAGGAAGTGACTCAAAGAGATGCCGCCTAAGGCAACAGCCTCAGACTGCCTCATTAAAGGGATGGCCCCAGTTGCAACCATTCCCTAAATACATTTTTGGTATAAATAAACATTAATCCTAATTGTAACTTGGAAGAGTACACAGGATGAATGCTGTGTCAGAAAGCAGCATCTACCTTACATCTCAATAGGTTCAACCTGCACTACAGAGTGCAGGTTGGGTACAATATCCTACAACATACCATTAAAAGAAAAAGAAAAGTACAGAAAACTTACAGAGACATTGAGGCCAGTCCTTGCGCAGTGAACACTTTACGGAGCCTCCAACGCACACGCAGATGTTACATGTGTCTTTCTTCCATGTCTCACTGTCCTGATACTCTTTTCCTTCCCAGAAACATGAAGGTCGGCGACATTCACAGCTCTCCAAAGTTTTCACCCTGGCCTGTAGGTCAGTGTTCTGTAGAGATCAATTTATATTAGGTTGTTTTCTCACAGTTACATCTTGGTTAGCAGAATTCTGACCAGTGAATGTTTCCTCTTCCACATGTACAGTATTTTTTTTTAAAGGGACAATTAAACCTACTATAAACCTGACACTTTAATAACATCATAGGTCTAATAGGCAAGATATGGGTAAACAACGCGATTTAACCGCCTTTGAACGTGGGAAGATTGTTGGCGCTAGGAGCCGTGGAGCGAGTATCAGCAAAACGGCAGAAATCGTTAAATGTTCAAGAGGGGCTCATTGTTAAAGTGTTTAAAGACTGGACTGTCAGCCGAAAATCTGGGTCTGAACGTGCGAATTGTGGCCGTCAGCGACTAGTCAATGTTAGGGCAGAACGGAGAGTGGCAAGACTGGTACAAGACAACAGAAGGGCAACAGTGCAGTGTCAGATTCCTCGCATCACCTTTCAACATCTCGTGGAGTAACAAGGCGGCCCAACGAAGTCATCTCGTGGAGTCATCTCGTGGCCCAACGAAGTACTGATGGGGTGGTCATAATAATCTGGCCACTCGCTGTATATTAAAGTATATCTAAAGGCAAAACAAAACAATATATATTGCAGCTTACCATCCTTAGATGTGGTGGCTGCATTCTGATTCTTTTTTTTCTTTTTGCTTTATTTCACCAGGTAAGTCTGCAAATAGCACGCTTTCTGCCTCTGGCTGGCTATAGATGAGCCATGGTTGTCACCCAGGCTGGACTTGTCTGCTTTTGCTCATCTCTATTACATGGGGAGTTTACAGGAAGGTACTAACACTGTGCTTTCAGTTCAGCTCACAGGAAGTTACAAGGACACTGTACTTCTGGCAAGAACAACGTGTATTTTTTTGTATTCGCTGAAAATGTTATTAGCCTAATAAATTAAAACTAATATGGCCACCAAATCTAAGGACTAGTAAGCTGCAATATGTAAATGTTTTGTTTTTGGGTTTAGCTATCTGTTAACTGTCCTAAGTATACCAAGTACTGTGCACACTTAAAGCATTACTTACAGTGGAGAAACTACCACAATAGCATACCCCATGGCCGCTATGCGGCTTCCTCCACCTGTGCTTCCTGTGCTTCTGCCAGCGCTCACTCCTCTGAAACACACAAAACACACAAATCTCGGCGGAGTTGCCTCCTCCCAAAGACTGCCTTAGGCCTCATGCACATGGGGCTATTAGCTGCGGCTGATAATTCCTGCAGCAAGAACCTGTGAATTTTTGTGGCCAGAATCCCAGGTGTGTTCATACAGCTTCAGCTGCTGTGCCTGTTCATGTGAATGACAGGCCAACAGCGGCCGCATCTGTCACTAGCTGTCCCCATGTAATTGTACATGGAATGAGCCAAGGGACAAGCATTTATCCCAAACTGTAGGTAATCATTTCATGTATCATTACATGCAGACAGCCACTGAGAGGTGCAGCACTGTCAACCTGTCATTCACTTGAATGGGCACAGCGGCTGCATCTGTACGGACCCATCTGGGATAAATGACACAACAGTCCACATGTTCTAGCCACAAGATTTCTCAGCTGTAGCTGACAGCTCCATGTGCATGAGGCCTTAAAGTTCCTGCACTGATGTGATTAGGCAGAACCTGCAGGCACCGTGTAGGGTTGCCACCTGTCCAGGATTCACCTGGACAGTCCAGGTTTTGAATGCTGTGTCCGGGTTTCATGGCAGCAGAAACCCGGACACAAGATGTCAGGCAGACAGAGGCAACCAAAATTAAGATAGGAGCTACTGGCCCCAACTAAAAATAATCTCAACTGTGATATTTACATATGAATGGGTGGTGCTATTTACATATGAATAGGCCACCACTTATTCTCCCCCCCAAAAAGTCAGCGCGCCGCTAGAATGTGTTCGGGTTTCGCTTAAAGAAAAGGTGGCAACCCTAGCACCATGGGAGAAGACAATGATGGCAATGTAACAGAGATCCCTTCCACTATCAAACACCAATGTAAGGAGGTCACTTGTAACTACTGAAAGCCACTGAAGTCAATGTGACTGGTCCTATACACCCTTTAGTAAAAGTAAAAGGTTTATCCACCATTAAACATCAATGTTATATGCTTAGCTATGGGGCTCTGTGATTTGTAGTTGTGCCCCTCAGCACTTATTATTACTCTGTAAAAGAAGAAGCATTCTCAAAGAAGAACAAAAGAGCTGATTATGATCTTTTATGGCACATAAACTACACTGTCATTCCACAAAGTTAAAATACTTTAATCATCTAAATTTATGGCTATGTGCAACTAATAAAACTAAAGTACTCGTAGAGACATAAGATATACATATTTTTCAATTTTGTTTGTAGATAAATTAATTAACCTGGATGTTAGGAACACTTGGCCTTTGAAGGATCATATCTTGTTACTTTGAATTATTAGCTCTAATGTCTGGCACCAGGAATGTTAAGCCTGAAAAGGAACATTTATCTTAAACACTAAATCAGGTCTCCAGGGAACCCCCTATCAGTTTGGGCCTTTGGACACATTTAGACCCAACGTGACTAAGTACAAAAACAACAGTCTTTGTCTTGAGTTCAAGAAAAGATATTTGCAAATCCTTTTTCACTAATGATTCCCAAAAGACTTCTTGTAAAACACATTTTGTGAGTAAATATTTCAAAGCTTTACCCAAATATACTTGGAATGCTTAGACTTAAAAATAGTCTGTAGAAATTACTAGCAGACGTTAAAGTAAACCTGTCACAAACAAGGACAATTCAAACTAAGCACATGATTGAAACCATGCATAAGCAGAGGTTATCTTAAAGGAAAACGGTTGTGGTCGAATCATGGAAGCTGGCACTGCTAAGCATTCCATCTGAAAATGCTCCTTGCCTAGCTGTCATGCTGATGCATTGACTTCAAAAGTATAGAGATAAGGAATTCTGATACTTTTTAAATACTCATTTACAACATGCATTTTCTGCGTTTGTGACTCAAAATTTATCAATGCGAGACAACAAGCATTTTTAGAAAGGGGCCAGAAATGGTAGCCTTCATATTGTAAGTGATAACTGCATGTAAAGTGATCTGTATATCCACAGATATAGGCTGCTGAAAATATAGCAGATTTTATTTTTTTTTTCAAAAGTCAACCTTGTCCCTACCCTCTCCCAGCTCCTGAGATTGGAATATAACAGCACCAAATAGCAGGGCACGTTGACGCCCTATTTTCACCTCAGTGTTTTGTAGCTTCTTTCCTTAAGTGTGAAAAACTCAACAAGAGGAATCCCATTGTTTTCAATGGTCCCCGTTCATTATTATTATTATTATTATATAGGATTTATATAGCGCCAACAGTTTGCTCAGCGCTTTACAATATAAGGAAGACATTACAATTACAATACAATCCACGACAAGATGGTAAGGAGGGCCCTGCCCGTGGGTGCTTACAGTCTAAAAGGGAGAGGGAAGTGATACATGAGGAGGTAGCTGTGTGTGGATGAATTGTTTGATAAAGTGAAAGTTCAGTGGTCAGGTTGAGGTGGGATAGGCTTCCTTGAAGGGATGAGTCTTAAGGGATCGCCTAAAGGCAGTCAGAGTGGGAGCATGCCCTGGTCACACCTAAGTATTGTGCCACGTGTAGGCAGTCACATGAAGCTCAAATAAGTACATGATCTTCTTTTGTGGCAGAGTCTTGCTTTTGGCCCTGTAGACTTTAATGGGAATGCCTGAAAAACGCTTGTAAATGAGCGTTTAAGCATTTTTTAGGCGCTCCTATTTAAAGGTTTACGGAGTCAAAAACATTTGGAAAATGCAAGTCTAAATGTGCAATAAGAAACCCCTCTAAACTACCTGGCTGCCCCATGCTTATTTGCGAATGGAGCCGAAGGGGTTGACTTACTAAAGGCAAACAGGCTGTCCACATTGAAAGGGAATTTGCAGGTGTACCTGGCTACCTCCAGGTACACCTGCATGTAATTGATCGACTTCATTAATATGCTCACACTTGGAGACTCGGATACATAGGGGGGGATTTACTAACCTAAACACACGCACGCACTAGGTGCGTGTGATTTTTACACAGCAAAACGTATTTATCAACCAAAAAGTCTCTAAAAGCATATTTCCACTAATGCCATATATGGAAAAATCATGCACATGATGCATATATAATGCTGCTTCACAGTTTAGACAAAAATGGTTAGCTCATGCATTTACATTCCTGCATTCATCAACGCAAGCAACACAACATAGAGCTAATTTACACAACATCACCTTGCAAATTCATGCAGGGCTTTGCACAACACACCTGCTGGGTGTGTACACACTACAAAGGTGTTTAGATTCCACCCATAGATCATGCTGGGAGGGAACACACTACAGAGGTGTATACATGTTCGTGGTGTGTTTATAAGGTTAGTAAATCAACCCCATAGAGTTAGGACCATAGAGTTACATAGAGTTGTTGACAGGGCAATTTGTTTGGTTGCAGGCTGGCTGGCAGGTTAAGCACGGAGGTATTTTTGTGTTTTGTATTGTTGTAAGCCTTCCCAATGTGCGCCCTGCTATAAAGGCTGGTTATAAATTCATGCATGTACCATCTTTTCTAGCTTGACTATTTTTGGTTTGGGGGACGCACTGGAGTCCCAGCGTGCATTTTTGGTTGCTGGGCCTCCAGTGCGTCCCTGCACCTTATTAGGAGGAGTTGGCTACCTCCAGGTACACCTGCATGTAATTTATCGACTTCATTAATATGCTCACACTTGGAGACTCGGATACATAGAGTTAGGACCACACTTTGCAGAGGTGCCTTGGAGCGGCAGTGTGGCTTCTACATATTTTTGGCCAAAAGTTTGTGCAACTAAAACCTCTGATTTTAACGCATACTGTTGACAGGGCAATTTGTTTGGTTGCAGGCTGGCTGGCAGGTTGAGGCTGGGGAATTTTTGTGTTTTGTATTATAGGCGTACTTATCTAGCCTACAAGTAAGATCCCTCACCCTCCGCTAGAACCTCTTGGTTATTAGCCAAAAGTGATTTGCGACCATTGGCTTCACCAACTCACTAACAGACTGGCTGCCGTGCTCCCGAAACTTATCTCCCCTGATCAGGTAGGATTTGCTACAGGCAGGGCTGCGGTAACCAATGCACGAAAGATTCTTCTGGCCTTTGAGGGTCATAGACTACACCTCTCCGCGTTCCTTGGCACTTTTGGCATTGGATGCGGAGAAGGCCTTTGATAATGTGAATTGGAATTGGTTGTATACTGTAATGAGACGTATGGGTATTAATGGCACTTTCCCCAATTTTATAACCACAATGTATTCATCGCCTAAGGCCCACATACTCACCTCTACGGCCATCTCCCCATCCTTTACACTCCACAAGGGGACGAGACAAGGTTGTCCATTGTCCCCCCTCCTTTTTAATCTAGCGTTGGAGCCACTCTCCAGATCCCTCTCTTCATTCCCACTCTTCTCGGGGCTCCAAATGGGACAAGCTGATCTTAAGATTGCATTATTTGCAGACGATATTATTCTACTGTTATCAGATCCCTCCTCTCGGGTCCCCAAAATAATATAACATATTACTCAGTATGGATCTTTCTCGGGCCTGAAAATACATTTTTCAGCGTGAACTATTTATGTTACCCCACAGTGCGCCCCTAGATACCTCCTCATGGCCCGAGGAATGCTCCATCACGGTCCAGAAACGTTCCCTTACATATCTAGGCATCCACATATCGGGGAATGCAAGACCATCGGGGAATTACAGACCATGTACCAGATTCCTTGCAGTCACTTCCTTTAATGTCCACATCATCCGCTCCTCCCTGAACGCAAATTCTCCCGCTACCTATCACACACATGTCGTTAAATGGGCTAAATTCCTCCAACTAGAGCCGGAGGAAACAGACAGCATGTTAATATCCGGTTGGCTTTCTGTGCGGAAAGCCACCATTAGTGAAACATGAAGAGAGCTCCAGTTTAAAATCATCCACAGAGCGTATTACGCCTTCAACCTATAAGATAAATCTACTCCTCCTGATTGGCTGACCTCCTGTCCCAAATGTTCTGCCCAATCCCCAGACCTGGAACATCTGCTATGGTTATGTCCCCAAATACAACGCTTCTGGGAGCAAGCAGTCTCCTATATGACCACCCATTCAGGTACTCAAAGAACCCGAAACCTACCACTCTGCCTATTCCACGTCCCCTGGCCCCAACACATGCCAAAAGGCGGTTATCTCTTACGGTGGGAGCACTTGTGCATGCTTGCCACAAAAAAAGGCTATTTTGACAAACTGGCTATCCCCTGCTCCTCCTTCCATACAGCAACTAACTGATCTACTTCGCAAACTGATGTCGTTGGACAAGCTTGACGCCCAATATAACTGTAAATACACTGATAAATTCTTCACTACCTGGACTTAATTTGTAGTGTCAGAATTAACACCGGCCCAGCTAAAAGAGGTGATGCAATTGTTCCAAGATACTGTGTGGTATCATACTGCCAAACTGGCAGGATCCCTGGGTGCCCTATATGTTCTTTAGCGTTCCCCCGTACCGATATATCCTGGCCAACCATAGTGACTGGACCCATCATTATGGATCCTTTTACTAAGGTCGGGACCACTCTAGCTCCTTCTAGTCTCATCCTAATCTGCTTGGATCTCCCTGGATGATGTTTTGGTGATGGCGATACTTGTTAGCTTAATTACTTTAATTAACTCAAACTGCAACCTGTTCATGTTTTAAACCTTTATGCTTTTATTACCTGCTCCTTTCACATTTCTGTATCTATGCTGATTGTATATGCTGTTTATCACAGTTTTGACTCTGTCCCTACTGAGGTGCAGAATGACTTGTTAACATGTGAAAATGTCAATAAAGACTATATGCTAAAAAAAAAAAAAAAAAAATTGGGGCACATATATAACATTTAAAATTCTAAGAA